CAGGATCAGGTCTTCTGCATGACTAGCTGCTGAGACCCTGAGTGCCTAGTAAAATGTTAAGATTTGTTTCATTGATCACATACATGAATTCTTTGTAAAAGTGTGGACTATTTATAAAGGAGAAAGAGATAATAATTTCAAGCAATGATGATGGTAATACTCTACCCAGTGCCTAGACATTGGGTGATGTTTGTTCATTTAAAATAAGAGTACGATATTAAATTTCAAAACACATTTTGACACTTTCTTATTTTATATTGATTGTTTTGACTCAATCATATTTCATAAAATAGATGTGGTTGGTTGGGAGTTGATTTTTTTTGCTTTTTTCCCTGAAAACATTAATTGCACTCTATTTTTTAATCTTTTATTTGCTGAGGAGCACAGCTTCCTAACACCCTGGAGAATGTTTTGATTGACTTGCAGACAGCTGGTCCCATTGCAATGCTGTTTAAAATGATTAAAATTATTGCAGAGACATATTCCTTTAGAAAATATTACAGATTTTACTCTTGGGAGTATTTTGCATGTCTGCATTTTTTGGATGCTTTGAGGGGAAAAAAACCTTTATGACATAGAGTAAAGGCTATACTAACATGTAACACTTATTTTTGGCCGACATTACCAGCTTTGTGGCCAAGGTACCCAGGTGGCTAATTAAAGCAGGGAATTTAATGAAATAGTGCGATTTTCTATAGCTATCAGAGATGAAAGCACTGGAGGTTTGACAACACACACTACTGTAAAATAAAATCTGAATGCTACTCACTTGCAGAAACTTAGTGTTTAATATTCGTCTTAAAAATTTGAACTGAAGGAATTAAACGTCCTGTAGTTAGACTGCAAGATCAATTTGTGTGCTACTGCAGAAGAAGAAAAAGCTCCAAACATGGTTAAAGTGTAGGCATTACAGTTATATTCATACCAGCAGGAACTAAGGGTGCTACTGTTTTGCTGTTTAACTTCCTGCTGGCCCAGGCTCTGGGTCTCCATGGCACTGATGTCTGTTTGCTACAGAGACATTTCAGTTAAAAGATTAAATAGAATGAAAAGTGCATTTGAGGTAAGGGCATCTTGCTGTTTGCTCAGGAAGATTGATGGGCTCTAAGTCCTTTGGACTGGATGTCATGAGATAAAGCTAAAGGGCTCCTTGAGGATGTTTTGTCTTTTCCTGTTGTGCTTGCATCTGTGATACACTAAGTGTATCTAAATATTTAGCAGTCATAGAGGATGGTTCTTCAGCAGCAGAGAAATCAGAGCTGCTTGCAGTCTGTTGACTCCAGCACTGGCATTCTGAGGCCACTTTCCTCAAAAAATTGTTGGATGCTGAGGAAAACAGAGGTGTTTGCATTGCTGTCGTTTAGATACCTGAGTTTAAGTCTAATGCCCAGTTGAGGTGCAAATTGATAACTGTGGAGCATTCTGTGTACTGAGAATATAAAAATTATCCCAAATCAGAAAGATTCAGGAAGAGGCTGACTTTTATAGAGTCTCATATTTAAGGAGAATTAATATTCAGTTAAAAGCAATGTTAATCTAGGTAATCTAGATTTGCAATTTTAATCAATGGTAATCTAGGTAATCTAATTCAGTTAATCTAGGTATAACAAATTAATAAACTTAATGAGTTGTAGCTTCTAGAAGAGTTATGTTGCTTTATATCATCTTTTTCTCTTCTTTAGGGTTGAGAGAATGTCTAATGTACTAAAAGAATAAGATTTTGTTTAGAATTATTTCTTTTTCCTGGTGTTCATCTGTTCTTTATTAACTGCCATTATTGTGGGTATCTCATGTTTATGTGGCATGGGGTGTTTGCTGGATACTGCATATCCTCATATCTCTGGTACTGAATTATCAGAAGAGTCAGGCGATGCTTAGGATGTCACCCTTTAATTTGTAATTCTGAAACAGAACTAATTTCCTTTTTTAATTTTTTTATATAATTATTTTACACTGTTCAAGGTATGTTTATGTTCTAGCTCTGTTTTCAAGATAGTTTAGTTTCACTTTGAATTCTTTTTTGTTCCTAAGCTGCTAGATATAACAGTTGCTGACTGGCTTTAACCATCGGAATACAAACAAATGTAAATTTGTTATCTGAAAAACTGTCATTAATCCTACTTTTTAGTGTTTGGCCAAGATGAAGCATCTGTGCAGAGAGTTAGTCATCTCTGCTCCTTTTTTACTCTGCTTTGTTTCTTAAATATTTATGAGCTCACAACATCATTTCCTTAAGCCGAGTGTAGTGTTGGCACCATTTCAGTGTACTGTGGGCTTGAGTACTTCAGAACTGGTTTGTAAGCTGGTTTTCTGTGAAATTTGTAAAATCACAAATGCAGCAGAGTGGTGGGTTTTAAATAGCTTGGGATGACTGTAATGTCTGGCTCAGAGGTTAAAGAATTAACCCAAAAGAGAGTAGATAAATAATAATAATGATAACAAGATAATAAAATTAACCCTAAAAGAGAATAGATGCCTGACTTCAAAATGAAATGTAACAATGTGGAGAATGAGAGAGCTGTGGATTTCATCTTCTTGTTCTGGGGCAATTACACTATCAGAAAATGCTACATAACCAGAAAATTATTAACTTGTGATTGTAAGAATTCTACTGGCCAGACCCCTAAAATATACACTTCAGATTTTAAAGGCATGTGTCTTAAGCAGTATTCTTTTATTTATTTTATTCTGTCTAATGAATTTTGTGGTCTTAGAGCTTTAAATTCAAGCAGTGTAGCAGAACAAATGAAATGAATTCCACATGATAAAGAGTAAGGTAGACATAACTGCGCATATCAGCATTGTTACTAGTAAGCTATGTGAATATTTTATCATATATCCTATATGGTCAAGGCATATATTTCATGCTGATTGGGTACTGTTCCCAAATATTTTTGCATTTCTCATGCATACTTTTTACTTATTCTAATGTTCTATTTTATTCAAAAGCATTTTAGAAACAGTAGAGCCGCATGAAAACATACCAGGGCAAGCAACTCAAAAATTCTGCTGGATTGTGTTTGGTATTTGTTATTAAAAAAAAAAAAGCTGGTGGGAAATATGTTTTTGTACTTATTTGCTGTATTGAACTTCCCCAGTCTTTTAATGCAGGTCTAAAGAAGAATCCTCAGCTGGGCTTTTTAACTGTAGCATTTTCTGTTCATTTCCATAAGTATGTAACCAGTTCTGGCATAAAGAGAGTCTACCACAGAGCTTTCTTTTATTTCCTTCTCTTCAAGATTTTGCCTATCTCAGGCACCAGATGTTTTTCCTTTGCAGCTTTACCATGTTCTACTTTTCAGTGTGGTATTAGAGAAGCTGAAATGGGAAGTTGTGAGAGGCACGGGTGATGAAAGAAGCAGCTAGCCTTGGCATAAAATTGAGCTTCTTATAGAGATTAAATGCAAATGAATTTATCATTTGCTCAACATGAGATTAGAAACCAATTTATGTTTTAACAGCACAAAGCCATATTGCACCACCAAAATTTCTGCCAAATGCATTTGTATATGAAGTTGTGGAAGTGGTTTTTTTTCCAATATTCATTTTGGTTTTATGTTGACTAAGTCTGTGCTTACAAGTATGAGACAGACTTATGACAGGCAACTGATTTTCACTTGAAGCTGCAAGCAAATTACCTATATTTCAACTAGTTGTCCATTTTTTTTTTCTTCCTGGGCAAGTTTATGGTACTTTTTTTAAAGTTGTCATTGGTTGGATTTTCTCTAATGTGCTATACTTACAAACTTTTACATGAAGTGTCTTTTAAGATTTTTTTAATACCATGGCACATTCATTGATTGCAAATTAACTAGTAATTTTTAATCTTTAATAAATAGTGAAAAAAACACTGGTAGGACAGAGAAACCAGTGATAGAAGTAAATATTCAATGACCCAGTTTCTTTAGCATAATAAAATCTGTGCAAGAAATGTATTCCACAACTTTTTTCACTGCTGCTGATGTGGAAGCAAAGGAGGGATTTTCAGTGATCCTTTTGGGTGCTGAATAATATTCTCTTCATTTACCACAATAGGATTAGTGAGTAGATCTCATTAGGAATTTGCACGTGACTTTTATGTTTTATAGATAAAAGGGAGCAAATTCCTCCGTGTCAAAGAAAGTCTGGAAAAATAATATCTAAGAATTCAAGCAGGTAGGAAGTATTATTGCAAGGATATGTTTCCATTACCTGGCAGGAAAAATCAGTTTGCCTTCTTTCTTAAAAAGGTATATGCTAAATCTCAGAAATGCTTCTGGTAACTTAATGAATAACATCCACAATAAAAGATAATTCAAATTAAAGCAATGAATTCTTTTTTATTAATACAGTCTTAATAAAAGAGAACATGTAAGGGTGGCAAAGATTGTTTCATTTCCTTAGGAATGGCTCATAAATTGATTTGTTGATTATCTTTTTTAGAAAGAAGTTCCATTACAGAAAATGATAGATATGATTTTGTCATGTACAAAGCTATTTGTAAAGGCATCCTTTATTCTTCATGGCATATGTATGACCTGACCTACTCCACCACACTTTAGTCCAACTAAGCACTGTATTTAAGTCCAGATTTTAAAAAAATATAATTTCACAATGTACATTAGTCATCACCGTCACCTTCTGCTTCCTTTGAAATTAATACTTGAAGCACCTATTAAAGTTGTTCCTGAATGCAGAGTGTGTAAGGATTGTTGGATAATCTCCCTCTTTCAACAATTTTTCTGCATAGAGCTCAGAATATGTATGTGTTTTTGTGAGGAAACTATAAAAAGGGGGAAATCTTGTCAGCCCAAATAATTGCTCTACCACTCTATAATTGAAAGCTGTTTTGATATGCCACCTTGAAAACAAGATGAAGTTTTATTGTTGCAACTGATGCTTGGAAAACTTGTGTGTGTTGGAGAATCAATGTCCTGTGTTGTTGTCACAGAATTAGTCTCTATTGCAAAGGAAGTGGTTGCAGTCATTAACACTAATGGGTGTGTGTGTGCAATTCTTAGACATATGAAGGACCAAAACAAGAAGGTTGCCAACCTGAAGCACAATCAGCAGTTGGAGAAAAAGAAGAATGCACAGTTGTTGGAAGAAGTTCGTAGGCGAGAGGACAATATGACTGACAACTCTCAACATTTACAAGTGAGTTTATTTTTCAATTTTTTTAAAGTTATCTAAGAAAATACACTTCTGTTCCAGTGTGTGTGTTCCAGAGTGTGTAGAGTCTGTTTCCACAAAGAGCTCATGGTTCCTTCCTTTTCTACCAGAGGATGCACTGTTCACCTCAGTTGTATCCATGAAATATTTACTATTTAGTTAAGGAAAAAAAAACCCCAATAGAATTTGAAGACCTCTGCACAGTTACCACATCAGCAACTCTTTTTTTGTTTTCTTACAATCGGAAAGAAAAGGTTCAAGTATATAGCTTTTATGTTTAAGATAGGCTTTGAGTCTTATTCCTGGAGAATTTCTACAGTTTGTAAGTTACTGGGTTTGGTGGTTGAGAAATGAATGTTCTTAAACTGATCTGTTTAAGTGATGCATTACATACCAGGGAACTTGTATTCAAGGCCACAAATTTGATGCTTGACTTAAGAAGTACTCTCTGAGATCTGAGTGTGAAAAACCACGAAGAGAAGTGCTGATTTCTGTTGACAACATCAGTGTCTCCATGCCCAGTGTTTATAGGCAATTTACAGTGCAAAATATCAATTTTGCCTTGATCTGGTTAATATAATGTGTTTCTGGAAAATTTCCAGTGGATGGAATTTGACCCTCTCTTGCTTCATATGGTTGTATTTCTCATGTGTTCCTATATGCAAAATGGAAAAATTAACACCACATCTCTCTTTAGGCTTGTGTTGGTGAAGCTTTATGTCAGAATCAAGTTCAGGAAATGATACATTATTTATGCATCTGTGCAGTGTTACGTTTACTTTACAGCCTTGGTCATTACATACTGATTGCATCACCATGCATTCCACTGCACAGGATAGAGCAATAAAAGCTTGTGAAGGATTTGGTCTGCCAATTTGGTATATCAAAATAAAATTTCAGTGTTGAGCAGCTTCTTGAAATTATAGTGGTTCAGTAAAGAGAATAAATTAAGTTTATTTTTCATTATTTCTTTGGAAATGTATTATGGTGGGGTGATGACTGGAGAATAGAACCATTCTCAGGATCCTTGATGTAACTGCTATACTTGGAGATTTCTACTCATGAGATGAGATTGGGTCTAGCAAATGGAGGTGGTGTGGCTAAATGGCTTGAATTTAGAAAGAAAATACCTGTCTGGTGTACAGTTCTTCTATTCCATTCACTTCCTATATAGCATCTATATATTAAGAACAGTTTGTGAAAACCAGTTAACCAAGAACGTTTATTTCTTGTTACTACGCATTAAAATGTCAGTATTTTTAAATTATGTCTTTCAGCATATTAATTTCAGTAATATATATATTAGGTAATATATTACATTCCCAGTAGCTGCAAGAACAGATGGAGAAAGGGAGCCTTGGTTGTCTGTGCTGCTGGATTGCTGGTAGGGATGATCCTGCCTTCTCTGCCATACAGGCAATCGCTGCTGTTATCAGTTTGCTGCTACAAACAGTTGTTGTAGTTCTTTTGCCATACAGGCAATCGCTGCTGTTATCAGTTTGCTGCTACAAACAGTTGCAGTTCTTCTGTCAAAGACTTCCAATTTCCTTGGCTTATTTCTTTTCGAGCATTTTTTAACGCTTAAGAGTGCATGGAAGCCTGAGTTGTCCTGGGATTGCAAGATTTTGCAAGGTTTTGCTACTCACAAAAACAATGTAGTGAATCTTGCAAATAAAGTAAATGCTGTGACATTGAATAATAATGTCACAATGCAGGTGACATGTCTGATGTACATTTATTCTGCTGATAGGTATGTATTTTTTTTTAAAGTTCTCCACTGGTACAGTTTATTTGTTTTATATGTGTAAGGTCATTACAAATGCTAGGTAAGAGCATCAAGTCTTGCTGTATGAATCTGATAAGCAGGTGATTGGCTTGTTGAAAAGCCAAACAAATTCTAAAGCTCCAGTCAATTAGCCTTAGTATAGAAAGGTTTTCTTTTAAAAATGATGAAAAAAAATCCTTTCTTTCTTCATGGAGTTTGCTTGTGTAAAAAGTAACAGCAGTATCTAAGGATTTAAATGAGACAGCATTTTTGGGGAGACAAATGCTGTGACACACATGATATACTTTGAAAAAATTCTAGGAGTCTGATGCATCTGCTAATTAAAACCAGTATTAGGTGGTGTTTCAAGAAATGTTTAATTAACATGTTAGTAAACCATGGAGACTTGACTACCTTTTCTTACTGTTCTTAATAACTTCTACTGCTTTTAGTGGAAATACTCTGCGTTTATATGCATTTATAACACTAAGTGCTTGTGTCTACAGTGTTCTTGTTACATTTGTGAATGATGTATTGAGCTGTTAGGGGAAAAGTGTATCCTAAAATTCTCTGGCCTGATGTAATGACTGTATTTGTTGGCTAGCTGTGATAAGCTGGCTGTTGGCTGGCGGTGATAAGCTCAGCTGAGAATTGAAGAGCAGTCAGACTGGTCAAATTACATTTACTGCAGCCAAGTCTCAGTCCCTTTTGCAGAACTAGTGGAAAAGATTAAATAAGAAAGCGGGTATGGTTGTCCATGGACCATCCAGGGGCTGCCCAGGGCAAACTGAGGCAATCAAGTGCCACCCTTCTTGTACAGGTCACACAGGGCTGAAGCTGAACCGTGCAGCTGTTTCTGATGGCTGTGCAGAGGTGCAGAAGGCTGTAGTTCCTTGGAAGCTTCAATAGTGTGTGCTGGTTCCTGAGGCTTGTAGCACCATGTGTATTGGTGACACTGTTCCCAATCTTTTCAGATAACAGCCTCTCAAAGCTGGTTTTTGTGCCAGTGTTATTACTTGCAGGGCAAGTTTGAGTCTCTGTGGCCCCATCCCGCAGCGCTCCAGGGCCACTGCTGTGATGGAGAGTGCTCTGGGATGCCTGGGGAGGGAATTCACTTTCGTCTGCCTCAGCTATCACCTGTAATTGTGAGTGATGCTTCAGGTGTGGTTTTGAGGGGTTCTTCGGATCACTGTAAAATTGGAAACATCAGGAAGCCAGATTAATTCTTGGGAATGAAGAATAGTTGTGAGGTTTTCTGTTTTTTCCTAACACAAATCAAGGGCAGACCTGTGCAAATCTTGCCAGACATGATGGTCATATATTACACAAAGCATCACAGCAGGAGAGTTGGACCTTGAACACTTTATAATGAATTTCTTTGAGAATGGTGTATCTAACATGCTGTCATTTTTCTCTCTTTTTTTGGTCTGTCTTTAAAATGATAAGCCTTTTTGAGAAACACTGAGCTAAGAAAGATACAGATACTATGTTATAGGTTTGTGCATAATTCTTCAAGTCTCTACAGGATTTTGAAACCTTAGAGATGTGAGACTTGTTTATTCCCTGAGATTATTTTTTTTTTCTTTTTTCTTGTGTGGAACATGTTTTTTCCAGTAACACTGGTACCTCAGTAGAATTGGGAAAGGAAACATTTGCACAACATTGACAACTTCAATGCATTTGGTTTTGATTCTGATTTTCAAATCTGCTGTAATAACAATAAAATGTCATTTTATTTCTCTAGAGTAAGCAATGAGGGTGCAACAAGAATATTCCCATGTGTCTCATTGCCTCAATGGGAATTGAATGTACACTTTTGTCTGATTATGCTTTTCATAGATGTAGTGTATCAATAAGTGATCTAAGTCTAGAAACACTTTGTGGAAATCTTATGCAAACTGTCCAATACATATGTGTCACCAAAAAAAGTGCAGGGATGAACCTGAAAAAAGTTGCATTAATTTAATGCCCTATTCTGCCTGATCTGCAGCTTCTGGGTGTTTCCCCCCCTTTCTTCCAGTTCATCTGCTGGCAAAGTTCTTGACTCTCCTTATGTTTTAAATGTTTGGGTAATTTGTCACAATTCTCTTTGAGGTACCTTGGGTTTTCTTTGGCTGGAAGTCCACATGCGGAAAAGAGATATTTCACTAACAAAATTGTTTTTGAGTGAGACAATGTGTAGTTCTCATTGATTTCAAATATCATATACAGGCAGCTTGATCAATGGTTTATGCCTGCAGTACTGTAGAACAGATTGTGTACACATGTACATTTTCCAGGTGTAAATACCTCACTTTTTAAGCAGAGTTCAGCCTGTCAGTCATGCTTTTTCATGGGATGTAGTGAGGCAAGGCAAGAGTTCCAGTTTTCCAATAGCTCTGTACTGGCTGGAAATTTAGTCTTAGGTAATGAATAAAACATGATCAGGAGGAAGTCCTGTCAAAAGAGATAAAAAAACTGGCTAGTTAATATCGCTGCTTTCTGATTCTTGCCATGTGAATATCTGTGATGTCTTAATCACTGAAAATAGCTCCCAAGAGGTTTCACAGCTAGTCAACATGAATCCTTAACCCTGGATTTTCTTCTTTGTCACTGTGTGCTTTACCATATAATCCTCAGTTCCATAATAGCTCTAAAAATACAAAATGTATCCAAGACATTGCACATTGCTGTTCTGTTATTTCTGTGTCTTATAATATAGCATGGCCTAAACAAGGGGTATATCTGACTTTACTATTAATTTGCTATGACTTCTCTTAATGCGGTGTATTTCCTACTGCATTGTCTCAAAAGCTTTGGTACTATAGTATAAATAAAAAGAGGAAGCTAGGCAGTGAGATGAAGTCTTGCAAACAAAAATGAACAGAGCAGTGTAATCAGTTCAGAGACAGAGGAAGCAGTCCTGACTGCTATGCAGACAGGCATTAGTGTATGGAGCTGACACAAGGCAGGAGAGAATTCATTGCATAAACACACAGCTTTGTATTAGTAGTGCTGAAATTCATATGCAGTGACAAAACACAGCCTTTTAAGAGGTTAAAATCATGAGCTATTTTATTAAAAGTTAAGCATCCGTCCTAAGGTGGACTAATACCTTTCTGGACAGCTTTAATAATTCTCAGTGTTTAATAATTCTCAGTGTGCTGTATGTTCCTGTCTTAAAAAGGCTGGCAATTTTTGGTGGGGGAAGACAGAGATAAGATAGGGATTTTGCCTGTTT